ACCAAGCTGAGGCCAGGAAATCATAATTAAGAATAAGCCTCTGTGCGTGATTTATTTGGGAGCTGGGTGGCTGGACCCCCAAAAGAGTAAAAACCCCCAACTACACTGAATCGCAGCACAGCAGCTGTTGCCTGCTGCAGAACTGTGTAGCTCATATGAGGAAAATATACACATTTTGATAAACAGAGGTTAAGTAATCTGTGTTGTACTAAGTACAAGCAGGAGAAAATGAGGGATATCTCAGACTTCAGAGACTCACTAATGGGCTAAGTTCCTATTGATAACCCTGAACAAGGAAAAGTAATAAAAACATGGAGAAGGCAAAAAAAGAAGAAAGAGGTGAACACTAACTAGAAACTTGTGACTTTTCTGGGACTAGCCAGGAAGGGAAAAAATAAGGCAAAAGTCAGAAGCCAGGGACTTTATCAGAATCCATAGAGGAATGTATCATGCACTGGGTGCACCTCTCTGTTTTGACCATGAATCACAACAATGAAAATAGATTGGATGTCAATTACAGGTGAGACTTTCTAGAAACCGTCAGTGGTAGGACAGAGATGAACAAAATACATGGTTTATGTCATTGAGCAATATTCAGTTCAGTCAAAACTAACTTACAACCACAGATGCCAATGGACCAAGTCAGGGTGATCATCACCTCGGAGGTACATAAGAATTTCACAGGATAGCAAAGATTCATGGAGGTACTATGATTTGAGCATCATCTGGACTAAGTGCCCTCTTGCCTGGCAGGAAGGAATGTTTCTTCTCTGAGGTCCATGGGATAATAAGTTTCTTGATCTCAGAAGACATTGTAATACAAAATGACACATGACTTAATACTGAAATACATATTCTTCCAGAAACTTCTAGGTTCATATGTGCTCCATAAATATGCATCTCATTCATCCCCACATGGTCTTCAGTATCTACTTCTTGGGTGTTCTATGTTTGAAGTCTCTCCTTTTCCCAGGGGAACCATGGTTTACATCCATGTCTATGTGTCTATCTTACAAAAAATCCACTCTTTGGCTTATGCCTTTGAGCCTCGTGGCTAACCATAAGAAGGGGGTGCACAGTTGCAGAAGGATGACTAGTTACGAACGGTGCACAGGACAGAGCATCACTCAAGGAAACAGGCAGGCACTGTCCATGTCTTCACTGAGGACTTAGCATGGGGCCCAGCATGGATCAAGTAAAACCCATCAGAGTCTGCTCTGGGATCAAGTAATAATAACCCTGTTACTTGTCCACTGTGTTGTTTTAGGAAAGTCAATTTCCTTCCTAGGAAACTGCCTTCTCTTCTGTAACACAGCTGTTGGATTTTGTCAATCCTCAAGTGTGCAGGCCTCAATCCTGGTACAATGCAAATGAATAGACCATCTCCCCAACTAATGGAATCAGGGCCTCATTGATTGGAGCATCAATGTCTGTATATACAATGGTGACCTCAGAATGAATCCTGCAGAGGACGTCTGAAAGTCACAGACACAGTGTCTAAATGCTAGTGTCAATGTTGACATTGCAATTTAAATGTGAAATGTCCCCCACAGACCCATGTGTTTGAACACCTGATCCCCACCTGGTAGTGCTGTGGTGGGAAATTTTAGAATATTTTGATGTTAGAATTGCTGAAGGAAATGGGTCACCAGTCTGGTCCTGCTTCAGGCACAGCTAGCTCTTCGCTTCCTGATTTGTGAGATGTGAATAAGCGACCCTGCAACGTCATTTTCCTTTCCTGCTGTGATGGACTGTACCCCTCCATCCATGAGCCAAAATAAATCCTTCCTCCCTGTTGCTCCTTTTGGTATTTTATCACAGCAATAAGAAAAGTAAAATATTTGAGAACACTAAAATTCCCTGCTGGTGATATAGCAAAATGATGACATCACATAAAAAATGGCAAGGAAGACACCTTCCTTCTTTTACTTTTTATTTATATTTATTCATCACCTTCTTGGGAGAGGAGTTTGCAGGTGGGGCAGGACCAGTGCAGCTGCCATGGCATCTAAGACCTGGATTGACCGTCAGTGTAGTGGGCCTCCAATTAGTCTGTGCAGGTCCTGGAAACTGCCGGTGAGTAAGGTGAAAGATTCTCAAGAATAAGAGCGAACAAAAACCTTGTTCGCCCTGTAAGGAGTTCTCTCTCCCCAGGCTGCCATCCTTCCCAAGAAACAAATTAACCAGATGCCCCTAATGACCTTCAGACCAACACCAGCCCATTTTCCCTTGAAATTAACCTTCTATTGTGAATCTAAACAGCATCTAATTAGCCCCAAACACTGGTGAGCTAACACAAGAGAAGTGTGTAGGAAAAGAAAACAAGGAGAGAATTTTATCAAAAGAGGAAAAAAGAACAAACAGCAAAAACTCATCCTCCAATTATCGTCCTCCTAACCTCCATCTCCCATTCTTTATCCCAGATCTCCATCTGTCTTCCTTTCTACAAACCTTGTAAAAGAGATCGCTCTCAGACAAATATTTTCCCCATCTCATTTGACACTGAGAAGGCAGGAAAAATATTGCCCATCACGATAAATATCAGTATAATATTCCAATTTTCCAGCATTTGACAGCAATCAGGAGAAGAGTAATGTGTTTCCCTCTGTGACTAAATCATTTAGAGACCAAGGTATTCTGTCTCATACTCATTAGAGAAAAAAAAATATTCTAATAATCTCATTATCCCAGTGCGAATAACAGTAAAAAGCACCAAGACTAATGACTTCTTCTATCCATGCCTCCAAGGATACCAGGCATTCACGGAAGCTGGTTGGTGAAAAGGTCCCTCAGCAGCCACCCAAAGCATCTGCTGCTCTGAACACCCTTATAACAAGTCTGGAGCTGTTTGCAGCAAGGTTCACTCATATCCCTGGACTCCAAAGATGGTACACGGTTTTTAACAAACCTCAGTGGAAAAAGAATGTGTCATGGCATGTTAAACTTTATGGAAGTTCTTCCAGGGAATAACATAATTTCATGGTGCATTGCTCTGAAATGACCGAATACTTGAATAATTAATTTTTAAGGTGTAGCATTGACTTCGTCTTGCTGTATTTAACCCATGTCTGATATTGTCAACAATGCCAAGGGTTGGACAATGAGTTGGTAGATGAACTGAAGCCTGAAAATTATTCTCTGACTCTTGTGCTTCCTTTTTAGACATTAGTAGTCTCTTAGGCTCAAGATGAAAAGAAAAAGATTGTGTTAATCCCCTTATTAAAGACAGGACATGTCACAGGCTGCACAGGCATGCAGGAAGCCAGCACACCCTGGGACATGGACTCAGCTTCTGACCTTCACCAGTCATGGCCTATATCACCTTGACCAAATTTCTACTCCTCTCTACCATGAAGGTGTGAAGATGGAATTTGGGCTTTATGCACCTAAAAGTCATTTTTTTTTTTTGCAATGATAAATGAATAGATTTGTAATACACCCTCTGACCTCTGTTTTTCCCACACTCTATTTTTCTTAGTAGCTACTGGATTTCCCCACCCTTCCCTGATGCACCCTCCCTCAGGTATGGGGAGAATTGGTATGCAAGTACCTGTTCTCAAGGCTCATACGACACACTTTAAATTCACTGGAAACAGCCATAGAATGGTAGGGTTGGAAGGAGTCTTATAAAACATAGTATGAATTCCTTCCGTTTGGGGAAAAATAAAAGACTAAAAGAGGAAAGATTTTTCCCAAGGTCACAGAGTTGTTTATTGGCAGATCCACCAATTCCCAGGCCAGTACTCTGCCCTCCACACCCTGTAGCACTACCATCATTATTTTCTCCTTTCAAGCCACCTCATGAAAGCAACTTTGCCTTATGTTTACAAGCATCATTATAAAGGGAATTGAAGACTGGAGGGGCTTTCCAAATCACTGAGGCTGGCCTGCTGGGAGAATGACCAACTCTCCAGATTTGTCTGGGACGAAGGAGGTATTGAAGACATGATGCTTGAGCCAGGAATGTCCTGAGCAAACTGATGAGCTGGTTGCCCTGACCCAGGCCCAAGTGATGATTGAATTTATTCTCTAGCCCTCAGATCTCAACGTGAATCTCTAGCACAAAGGTGTCTGTGACATTCTCATTTAACAAATGGCATTGCTGGAGTCATCAAATATGACTATAGGTTTCTGTCCTTTTAATCACGCTGATGAATGCAGATGATGGGTCTGCAGATAACCCACCAGAGCACAGCAGCGCCAAGATGAGTCTCTTCCTTGGATCTGAGAAGACAATGGAGTTAAAAGATGCACAGACAGAGAGAAGCCTTCTGACTTTTTTTTTTCTTTGCTTCCCATTCTTGTCTTTGTTAGATTAAAAAGCCATCTCTTCTCTTCCTGGCTACAGAGTCATGACTAAGTGACTACAGAGCCCAGTGTTGCTTTGTTCTGTTTTCCCACTTTTCTGATAATTCAATGTCCAAGTCCACATTCCAGGACAGCTACTGTTTCAGGCCTGGCCTTGGGATGATAGACAGCTCAGTGAATCACATTTCTGAGGCAACAGAACAGCAAGCCTTATGGCCTTTTATCTCAGCTTTCTGGAACCCCAGTGACATTTCCAGCCCCATTCATCTATAGGGCTGCAACTCCACCCAGACGATTATCGTTTTAGTCAGCACTCTGATGGGATGGATGACTGCACAAGTTTCACCCTTATGCCCTTGAAACCTTCCTGACTGGCCATTAGTTCTATTCTAAGGGTTTACAACTACCTTTCCCCCACAGAACAGTGGCCATTTGGGTGAATTTTCAGGATGTGAAGGCAGATAGCTAAGACAAGGGTGGGAAAGGACAAAAAAAATTTTGGTTGGGCTTCCTCTCTTCCATCTTCAGCTGCCATCTTGTTGCTCTCTTCTGCAGGGCTCCAACACAATGGGGTGCCCTTGACCTTCCTCCATTGCAAATGGATCTGCCTAAGCACCACATGCTCCAAGTCCTACCTGTTCTTATTTCATTTATGCTACTGTGATAAAATATTCCAACAAAAGTCAACTTGTGGGAAGGGGATTATTTATTCAGCTCCATGTTACAGTCCATAGTCGGGCAGAGGTTGAGGCAAGCAGCTACTCACATCACAACTACAGTCAAGAGAAGAGAGAAATGAATAAATTCACAATGCTTTCTTGCTAGCTATTTTAGTTAGGTGTTCTATGGCTGTGATATAGCATCATAACCAAAAGCAATTTGAAAATGAAAGGGTTTGTTTGGCTTATACCTTCACATCACAGTCCATCATAAGGAAAATCAGGGCAGGAAGTCAAGACATAGTAGTAACTCAAGGCAGGAGTTGAAGCAGTGGCCATGGAGGAATGTTGCTTACTGGCTTGCTCCTAATGGTTTGCTCAACCTGCTTTCTTAATACTTTAGACCACCAGTCCAGGGCTAGCACTCATAGTGAGTTGGGCCTTCCCATACCAATCACTAATCAAGAAATTGTACCACAGGCCTGCCTGAAGGCCAATAAAGTAGGGGCATTTTCTCAATTGATGTTCCCCCTTACCAAATGACTCTAGCTTGTGTCAAGTTGACATAAAACTAGAGTGCAATAGCTGTCTCTACTTGTACACTGTTTAGGACCCTCTTTCTAGGGAATGGTGCTGCTCACATTGGGTTGGATCTTTCTACATAAAATAACAATAAAAATAATCCTCCACAGACATGCCTGAAGGCCAATGTGATCTAGATCTCATTAAGACTCACTGCAGGTGATTATAGGTTGTGTCACATTGACAGTTAAAACTAACTAGCACACCACCAATACCCCAAAATAATTGAATTAAAATGGTGAAAGAAGGAAATCCAATTCATTCAAATTAAGATTCTGATAGTGTTCAAAGAAAGAACTTATATAATTAAAGAAATTTCTACTAAGGTAATAATACAGGTTTTTACTTTCCTCTGTGTCTTTTGTCCTAAAAGAAGAGCTCACTAGTCATAAAAGAAAGTCCCTAATTGGTGTTAAAAAAGTATGAAGAGCAAAAGGGCCTTTTCAAAGTCTTGCTTGCTCTGAATCCCTGATCTCTTATCTTCCTGACCCCTCCAAAGCTTCCCACTTCTATACCGAGCTAAAGTGTGTGAGCAGAGAAGCCAACAGATGCTCTTGTCACTGCAGGAGGGACCCTCAGGAGAAGGCTGTATGCTTCCTCACATTTGTATTCTGGTTGCATGTTTCCTGCAGTAATATATACAGCGATTCTACACTCTTGTCCATGAACCATGTAAAGACATCCAGGATAACTGCTCATTCTAACATTGATGCTATTAACTTGTGTGTTTTGGTTAAAGTGAACTTTACTAGGTATCTCCACAGCAAACTTAATTAGCATGCATTTTTACTTATTAATTAATAACACATGGGAAATCTGTTCTTAGTACAGAAATGCACTGCTTCTACATAAATTGCAATTTGCTAATCCTACAATTCATTGATGATTCTTGCCTGTGTCACATGACAAAATGGTGTGTAAAACAGTGAGTTTTTTAAATGCCTATAACTACTCAAATATTTATGCTTTATTTATTCCATCATTTGTATTAGGATGGAATTATGGATTCTTTATGGAATGAATAATAAACCATTAATTATTTTGATGTTTAAATTATCTCTGATTTAGCCAGTAGATGTTTAAAGTCTCTTATAATCCCTGTCACATCCTATATATCCCTATCATGTCTTGGTCAATCTATGTCTGACACCTGCTTCTGTTCCATCATATAATGATGTTATAAACCTGTGACCCAACTCCAGTATAAAATGTTTCTTTAAAAAGTCCTGATTTTCCTAAATAATGACACTTAAAAATCAAAAACCTAGCTGTGTCCATTGTTCCTGAAGTGCCATTGATTTTTATATCTTCCCAATGGGCAAAGCTATGAAGTGTGTATATAGTTGTTTCTATTCCTGTACCTTCCTATATATTTTTAGAGAGACACAGTGCCATGAGTTTATACCAGATCCTCCACTTCCAACTCAACACTGTAGAATTTCCTGTTGTCTCTCCTCCTCTATGTTTGTAACACCTAATTAGTAGTAAGAACCAAGATGCCAACACGCTACAAACACTTACCTTCTCCATCTCTTCCTTAACCACTGAGTCTCTGTTGGGCATGGCTGTCCTAGTGTGACTTTACAAATTGCATCCTTGGCACCATCTGCATTCTAATGGAATTCTTGGCCCTGATCCTGCAGGACACAGGACAGTGGTTAATTCTTCACGCTATTCTATATTGCCATCAGTGTGTGTGTGTGTGTGTGTGTGTGTGTGTGTGTGTGTGTGTGTGTTAATAGTCAAAATCCTTTGAGGGGAATTTAAATATAAAAGGATTTTTGTGCTTACAGATGAACTCTTTGTTGTGTTGGGTTTTTTGTTTGTTTTGTTTTTTGGGTTTTTTTTTTCTTTCATGGGAAGCAAGGTTTCAGTCTGGTAGCATCCTGTTTCTATTCTGTAGTTTAAGCTTTTTTCAAGAGTAATTATCTATTTGTAACTGTCTGGAAAAATAACAAAGATAATTTTACTGGATACAAACTAAAGAATTAAAGGATAAGATTTTGCTTTGTTTTCTTAGTCACTTTTTTTGTTTGATTGTTTTGCTTTTTTGAGACAAGAACTCTTCATTATTTCTGATAAGATGTCAGCCATCATTCTTATCATTTCACCACAGTATATAACGTATCACTTTTATTTAACTACTTTTAAGATTTTTTTTAAATTTATCGTTGTTTAGTGTGTGTACGTGTGTACACTCTCAATGTGTTATGTGAACATTGGTTGTCCCAGCTTGACTGTGTATTAGAGGACAACTTTCCTGGCTCTTGCCTACCATCTTCATGAGGGGGCATTCCAGGGGTCAAGTCAGGTCATGAGGCTTACCAAGCAAGCGCCTTTATTTGTTGAGCCACTTTGGAGGCCCAAGACACCATTATATATTCTGTTCATAAATTTGATAATTTTGCATTTGTTTCATTTACTTCATGTTTATTCTACATGGGATTTGCTGAACTTTGAGTTTCTGTGAGTTGATGTCTTTCGTTGGTTTTGAAAAATTGTTGGCAACTATTTACTAGTATTCATATCACTAAATATATTATCTATTTATGATACTGTAGTTCTCATTTCTAATGTTTCTATGTGGTTCTGTTTTATACTCTATCTGCTGAAACATTTATCTTTATAATGGCTCATTTAAAACCCTCATCTTTTAATTTCTATAGCTGGGTAATTTATGGATCTTTCATAGTTTTTTTGTTTTGTTTTGTTTTGTTTTTTATAGTTCACATTCTCAAGCTTCTTTTTATTTTTATAAGTTCATATTGTATTCAAGGTGTCAGGTGTAAAAAGACAGTAAAGATTAAGTAAATTATATTTATCCCCAGAAAATACTTCTTTCTATGCCAGGCAGATAAGATTTCAAATGTGGATTGAATCTAGAATGCATGTCAACTGTATCTGGTATTTGGGGCAACTTCGGTTTCATCAAACTTCCCAACAATGTCAGTTATTCTGAAGATGAAATGAGGTCTTTTCCTTGAGCAAGAATGAGGATCTGTGCTTGTGACAATCTGTAGATTTCCCTGATGTTCACAGTGTAGAGTATTTTTCTCCTTCACAGTCTGGTTGACAACTCTTGTGGTCACTTGAGGGTTTCCTTGGCTCCTGAGCTCTGATCTCAGTTCCTTATGCCCTGGAAGATCTATCCAGCCTGCAGACCTATCTACACTTCCACTATACTGTACTTGGCAAAGGCCCAATGCAATTATCATCTCTTCTGTCCTATGCCCCTTAGATCCCGCTTTCCCCTTAGAAAAGACCCTTCATACCAGAGTAAAAAATCCCTCTCCATTCTTCTGCATAACCCAAGGCTTTAGAAAACTGTCCCGATGCATTCATCAAGGATTGAGTGGGGAAGGTGCTGCATGTGTGGAAACTCCATGAATGAGAATATCAAGACTCTGACCCATCATGCCAGTCCATGTGCAGCTGTTAAAGTTCATTAAGGGTCAGACAAGCCTTCTCATTATAATAAGTTTTTTCCCATCATGCTACAGCACTCATAGCAACTGGGAGATTTTCTCCTAGAAAGGGCTCATTTCTTCACACATTTCAGCATATATTAAAGCCTCTGGTCACTGATGGATTTGGAATGGGGGATACTATGACTTCATAATCATAATCCCACTTGGACTCACTGTTAGGGGGAGTATCTGTGTCTTATTCCAGTTCTATTTTTAAGTTCTTCTTTTGCTTCCTTTCTACAACTCTAATTGACCCTTGTGGGGTGCCCCCTCCCCAGCTTCTTAGTTTCTCCTTGGAATTTTGAAACTTATGGAATATAAATCTTTGTCTATTTATATTTTGACATTGGAAAATGTCTTTCTCATATTCCTGGGTAAGTACCTGACAGTTACTCTTGGGAACTAGATAGAACCAATGAAGTCTATCAGCCATAGAAACTGATTTGGAAATTAGGAATTATTAACCATTAATTGGCATTTCACTCTCAAGAGGAGTGATAACCCTTTAAAAGCACAGACCCCTCCTCCTGTCTGTGCACCCCAACAAAGCATGAAGAAAAGCAGGTGCCAGCAAGGGCAGAAGTGGGTTGACTTCTGCCCTTTTGCTTACTGTTCCTAATTGCCATTTTGAAACCTGTCATGGTTGAGTTACGGGAGGCAAAAGAGGAGGGCAAAAGTTGTTTCCTGTCTGCTCCTTTCTTAAAGTGGTTTTGTTATCTCAAGGCCTGGAAGAAATTTAAAGCTGGTACTTCCTTCATGAGTATAATGCAGAGTTAGGGTGGGGGGCTCTCTGACTGAAGCCTCCATATGCCATTCTCTAGCATAAGGCTTTGCTCTAACTTGGACCTGGAGTGCTTCCCAAAGATCCATTCATTAAAGGCTTGGTTCCCCATCTGGTAGCTCCAGGAGGTGGAAGGATGAAGTGGGACTTCATCATGGGAGGTTTTTACGTCATCAGTGGTGTGCAGTCAAAGGGGACTATGGAATTCCATGCCTGTTGTTTCTCTCCTGTGATCCTGAGCAGCTTTGCTCTGGCCAGGATGGATCCCATGGACCCAAAGCAATGGGGCCAACAGATGATAAACTGAAACCACCAGAGCTCAAAGACAAAACAGCCCCTTCCTCCTTGCAAAAATGATAGCCCTGGGTGTTGTTTTGTTTTGTTTTGTTTTGTTTACAGGAATAGGAAACTGATAAACAGAAACTTCTCGGTTAAGATAACTTTGTAGATAGCACTATATTCTCACTTTGACCTTTATGTTCTTCTTTAGGGACTTGGACACACTTGGAGGAAATGTAGTAACTTCCTATAGTGGTTCCATGGACAGCTCAGCTGATCTCTCACTCAATGATTATATAAGCATGATTAGATGCCAGTTGATAGTTCTCTCTTCTAAGGATGAGGTTTGTATTCCAAACTCTCCAGTTAATCCATTCTGAACTCAAATGAGAAATAATGTGAATCATAGATCTAATTTTTTCCCAAGGAAGTCCTCATAAATAGCTATACATCTTTTTGCATTTTTCTCATTGATGTGAACCTCACCAAACATTTTCCTGTACTTTTAAATCTATGCCTGGTGATCTACCCATAACCAATTTATAATTTATTATGCTTTTGTGTCTTGATTTCTCAATTCTACAGTTTAAATTAGCATGCAGCTTCATCTTCTTTTCCCTGGCCATTACACATTGCTATTCTACAGGTTTCTGTCCTTGAGCCAATTATGTCTACCCTCAACACATCTGCCTCCTGAGCACTGTTTCCACTCACATATCAACAATTGCAGGCATGCAAATTAGTCCAAAGCCTGTCTAGTTCCCTTCTCTCACCCAAGTTTCCGACTTCTAATTGCAGCAACTTACATGATAATAACACACTGGCCCAGGGGACTCTGAATTTAACAAGACCCAAACAAGCCTCCCATTTCCTTAACTCTGTCTCTCACTTTTACAGCACATGCCTTCAGCTGTGCTCTCACATTCTCTTGCACTGTCTCCCTGCTCTCTTTCTCTCTCATTTCACTAGTTCCTGTGCCTGAAGAACACAGCTAATCCTCTAGCTTAAACTTCAGCTCACCATTTCCCACACAGGATTACTGAATGTTTCCCCTCTGGATCCCTCAGATTTTAGCATTTATGACTTGCCTTCTATGGAGTCACATATAAACTTATCTGTTTTCATCACCCTGGAATTCTTCAGCAGCAAGGGCACATAACACTTGATTCTAAGTGTCAAGGGAAGTCCTGATATGTAGATTGTTCTCAGTTCATGTCTGTTAACTTGAGTTTATATACATTTTGTTATATGATTCCTAAGACACTGAGAATAAAATTATTACTATCCCCAAATGTCAGATAAGACAACTACAGTTCCGGGGTGTTAAGGCGTTGGCTGCATGGTCCTGGGAACAGAGGCTGAGCTGTTTCTATACCAGCCTTATGTTGCCTGGCCTTTCTAGCATCCTTAAATACCTCTCTTTCCCCAGACATTATCATGCTTTTTCCAAGGTTTTGTGCATGCTAAGCAAGAGTACTGTTATTGAGCTATATCCTCAGCAAAATCATACATCTTAAACAAAAGATATGTGAGGAGTGTGGCCTTATTTCTCTGCCTAATTCTTCCTAACTCTTAAAAAGAGGAGGGGGGTAGAGTACTACAATTAATTCATTTCAGGAACTGATACATTACAAGCTTTCTGCTTAGTTTCCTCATGATGCCCATATAAGCTGTTTACAACACTAGCATGATGCCAGTGCTACACTTCACTGCCTTTCTTATTCACACAAGTGAGTTGACTACAGCCTGGGGTGTTACAGAGCCCTATGGCTCACCAGGAGCCAGGTGTCATGGTGAAAGATGCCACAGGCTTTTTCCCAGGCCTGGCTTCTAACTCTTGTCTAAGATCAGGCTTTGTCTTATTAAAAACTTTTGATCCTGACTCAATTTCCTCAGCATCACCTGCTAATATAAGAATGTGCCTTAGAAATCATTGAGCCAGAGCCGCATGCAGGTCATTTTCTCTAGCAAGCAATCTCATGAAATGGAAATCAAGAAATGGGGGTGGAGGGTTAAAATTGGAGAACAAAAAGCCTATACAGGGGAATATTGTCAAACTGATCATTCCTTTATCAGTGGTTCTCAACATGTGGGTCATAACCCCTTTGGG